AACACCACAGCCGACACCACAGCCCACACCACACAGTCCACACCACAGCCAACACCACAGCCAACACCACAGCCAACACCACAGCCAACACCACAGTCAACACCACAGCCAACACCACAGCCAACACCACACAGCCAACACCACAGCCAACACCACAGCCAACACCACAGTCAATACCACAGCCAACACCACAGCCCACACCACAGCCAACACCACAGCCAACATCACAGTCAACACCACAGCCAACACCACAGCCATCACCACAGCCAACACCACAGCCATCACCACAGCCCACACCACAGCCATCACCACAGTCAACACCACAGCCAACACCACAGCCATCACCACAGCCAACACCACAGCCATCACCACAGCCATCACCACAGTCAACACCACAGCCAATACCACAGCCAATACCACAGCCAACACCACAGTCAACACCACACAGCCAACACCACAGCCAACACCACAGCCCACACCACACAGTTCATTTCTGGAGCTCCCTTTATAGCCACAGCAAAGTAAATTAAGAAACTTTAACTTTCTCAGCTTTCTTTAAAATGCATCCTCAGAACTAGAGATTCCAATCCAGATCTCTGGTTTGTAACAGTTCCGTCCGGTGGGCCTCAGGATCCTCATCTGCGCTACACTGAGAAAGCGGGAATGGAGAGGTACATCGGACTAGATAGCCTCCAGTTCCCTTCTAGCTCTACAGTTAGACATGCAGTGAACAAAGTGTGGAAACCTTGGTGGGCAATACTCGGTGCGTTCTTCAGACCTTTATTTCTTTCCTTCTAGTAGTGGGACAGAGCAGACATGCAAAACAATGTTGCTGAACTGAATTCAGGCACACTTCATCATTGCCAAAACCAGTTCACAGGGTGCCCTTAAGTATCCATTCATGCGGAGGGCATCAGAGGCACAGCTGGGATCCATTAGTAAGTCATCATAACCTGCCCCAAATCCTCTTGAAAAGTGCTGTTGCTTTCCATTCACCCACCCCAGTAGTTTCCTCTTGGCCTGACACTATCAGCATTATTGCGGTACGAAACCATGATGAGAGGTTTGAAAATGGGACCACTCAACACACGTGGGTTCAGAGTGTTCGTGTGCGCCTGTAATTTGCATAGTAAAACCTTCAGCTGTCAGGCTTGGATTTTCAAATCAGAAAGGAATGTCTGGGTTCAGTGTTGTTGAACATAACGACTCTACCAGTACGTTTTTCAGAAAATGCCCTTCTTGCTGGAATACCCAGGATAAAAACCAGACAGATGTGGATAGTCATTTGTTAATGTGGTGGTTTGAATGGTTAGTTCACCATATTCTTGAGCATTTGAACACATTGTGTGGCGATTATCTAAATTATTCTATTATTAATAAAAAAAAACCTCAGAAATCGGATACTGGGGTTAAATCTGAACGAGCTACCGAGAAACAACCAACTGACCTCTATTCTCCACACACCCCAGCTCAAAAGGGCCATGCATCTGTCTCCACCCATCCCTGGTTCTCCTGGTCTCTATCCTCCGGTCCGGGGGGAAAAAAAAAAACAAAACCTCTATGGTTCATTCTGGCCAGCTGAACGTGGACTCCGCCCTGTGAAATCGAAGTAAAAACTTTATTGGCCATCTCGGAGTGAACAAATCTCCCACAACAATTTGGTCCCCAGTTGGTGGCACTTTGGGGATGTTTAGGAGGTGTGGTCTTGTTGGAGGAGGGGTGTCACTGGGGGTGGGGTTTAAGAGTTTGGAGGTTCACGCCATTCCCAGCTCTCCTTCTGTGTCCCGCTTGCAGTTCAAGATGTGAGCTCTCAGCTGTTGCGGCCGCCATGATTCCCTGCCGTGATGGACTCAAACCCCTCTGGAACGGTCCGCCCCAACAGACTTTCTAGCAGTTCCCTTGGTCATTGTGTGCCATAACAGCCGTAGAAAAATAATTAATACAGTTGGTAAAGGACCCACAGTGAGGGAAGAAAGATTGCTTCTTCATCATATCCTTCCTCAGCAACGGCCTCACTCCTTATCTCTCTGCCTGGAACAGAACCCACAAATCAGGGAGACACACCTGGTCCTGTTGGTCTATTTTTTTTTATGCCATAGTTTAATTTCACCTCAGAATTCTACGTTTAAAAAAATGTTTTAAATCAACTATTTGGGGCCAGGGAAGTGCCTGGGCAATTAAGAGCACTTGCTGTTTTTGCAGAATATAAAAGTTCAGTCCCTGGCACCCATGCCAGGCAGTTCAGATCTCCTGTAACTCCAGCCCCAGGCAGGGGATCGGACTCCCTCTTCTGGCCTCTGTGGGTTACATGCATAGACATACAACAAACACAAATAAAAATGAATAATTTTTTAAATCAAATAATCCACAGGAAATTTCTGTCTTTTAAACAGTATGATAGCTCCTCAAAACAAATTAAAGATAAAAGTATCATATATATGATCCAGACATTCCGCTTTTGGTTATACCCAAGGGATTGAAAAGAGGGACTAAATCTGATATTTAAACACTGATGTCCATAGCCGTATTAGTAACAATAACCAAAAAGCAGAAATGACCTACCTGTGACTTCAGCGGTGAATGGATACTCAGTACACACATGTGATGTAACACCATCACCCTGAAGAGAGTGAAATTCTGATGCAGGCTACAGGAGACCTGAACCACAGAAACAAGAAGCTAAGTAAAATTGTGCATTCGTTTACTTATATCGAACACCTAAAGTAGTCAACTTGTGGGGACAGAGGAGACTAACAGGGACTGGGTGATTTCTTGTCCCTGCAGCCAAACATCTGGAAAGCAGCTTAAGGGGGGAGGATTCATTTCTGTTCAAGGTCGACGATGTTCCTATGGTGGCGGGAAAGGCGTGGTGGCAGACACCTCCACAGCAGAGGTAGCTTGGGCCTGGGATTCCTCCTCCTGTCTTGCCAGAACAGGAAGTAAAGACCTGACAGGAAGGGGAGAGAACTGTAAATCTGGAGGCCTGCCCCAGGTGACCTACTCCCCGCCCCACCCCCTGGGGAGGTTCCACAACCTACTAAAACAGCACCGGCAACTGAGGACCAAGTGTTCAAACACATGCATCTGGGGTGAGAGGGAGCACTTGACACTCAAGCTATAACACTTGGGGGAAGGGAGAAATGCGTGTGTGGGGGGGTGGGGGGGGTTGTCGTTCGGTGAGGACAGGTTCAATTTTGGATGAAGAAGTTCCTGAGATAGAGAATGGATAGTGGTTACCTGGCGGTGTGGAGTTATACTGAATACCATCAGCTGCAGACACAGAGAGCGGAAACAGTACATTTTATTTCCATGCTTATTCGTTTTACCATTTGAAAAAGCTACTCCTGAAGCTTCCAGAGAGTGTATAGAAAGAATCACAGTTTGGGGAGGAGGTACTTTAGAGTTCCCCTTCAGAGCCTTACACTCTATGTGACTGGGGAAAGTCATTAAGGATGCAGAAAAAGTAGGGTTTCATCTTTCTTTTCTTCTTCCTCTTCTCCTCCTCCTCCTCCTCCTTCTTCTTATTCATTACTATTATTTAGCTTTTAGGTGGTTTATTTACTTATTTGTTCATTTATTTTTAAGACAGGGTCTCACAATGAAGCCAAGGCTGGCTCAGTATATGACCCAGGCTGGCCTCAAACTTGTGTCATCCTCCTGACTCAGGCCTCCCAAGTACAAATAGTATAGGCGTGAGCCAATGTGAACAACTTTTTAAGAAAGCATGTTTTTTTGGGAGGAAGTTTGTGGTAATCAATGCCTAAATCAAAAAAGAAAGCTCTCAAATAAGGAAACCGACTTTATATCCCAAGAAACTAGAAGATGAACGGAGCCTGACTTTTGTAGGAGGAAGAAAATAAAGATGATCACAGAGATAATCAAAACAGAAAGGAGAAAAACAGCAGAAACTGATCAACAAAAGTAGGTTTTTGGTGTTTTTTGTTTTTTTTTGAAAAGAAAAAGTAGGCTAAGAATAAAAAAAGGGAAAAAATACAAAAAAAAATCAGAAGAAAAAGACACATTGCAACCAACACCTTGGTGATACAAAAAGCCGTAAGAGATGACAGTGAACAATTATTTGCTAACAAACTGTTTAACTTCAGAAATGAGTGAATTCCCAGACACGTTCAGTGTCCCAAGCCGGAAGTGTGAAGAAGAAAACCCAGAGAGAGCAAGCGTGGAGGCTGAGTCAGGGATGAAAAGTGTCCCAACAAAGAAACCCTGGGACCTGATGGCTTCACCACGTGTGGGGACATCACATTTAAAGGACTGATAACCACACCTTCCCAAACAGTTCCACAAACTCAAGAAGTGTTAAAATGGGCATGGGTCACCTCGCATGCTAGCTGTGAGTGTGAGGAGGACAGGCATGGCACCACCATACTAAGACCTCAGTGGTTGGCTTTTTTTTTTTTAAATAAAACAAACAAGAAAAAAGTTTAAAAGCATGTGCTTCAATTTCGAAGACAGACTCAGACGATGAGTTGACTCTTCAGAGTTTCTAGGTAGGTAGACATGTTATTTAGGTCGTTCTTAAATGATGAACATAAGGACAAATTGTTTGATGTCAAAACTTGGGAGCCTTAATGGGTCTTCTTTCTAATTTGCCCATAAATCATAGCAGCGAAATTCTGCTCCACGTAGGTCTGAGTCTGTGAGCTCTGAAAGCTGAAGGATTATTTTGTTTTTCATCTCCCTTTGGGTTTCAGCTTACCAATATTTTCATTAAACATTTAATTACTTGGCTGTTAAGTAACTCTTTCTACATTTAATGTTCAATTCAAAGGCCCACAAGTGAAGGGATTTGATGTAATTCTCATAGTTAAATATCGAGGGATGGAATTAATCCCTAGATTACCTGTATGCTGCTGCAACTTCAGGAAGGCAGGATGGAGACCCAGCAAGAAGGGGCAGAAAAACAGCGTCTGCTTGGAGGAGGCCGCAGTGAATTAAGGTTAAGGGGATTTGCCCTTGCGGGACCCCAGGTCTTTAATTGGGACCTTCAATTCCTGTAATCCAGAAGGATTGGGACCAGACACATCTAGATTATTGCCAAAGCCCAAAGGTGACTCACAAGGAAAAACAATTATTAGTGCCTCCAAAACCTTCAGATAGAAAAGAGGTATTTAATGAAACCTGACCCAAGCCAGCCAGGGCAAGGTGCTTACAGAATATTCCCCCATTAGCAGAGAAGGGGAGAATCTATGCGAACCTGCCCGTTTTAACCTCAGTCATATCTGGGATCCTTCTTCCCGAGAGTCCATCCATCTGTTGCTTCATAGGGAATATAAAGCTAATTGGACTTATATTTAAGAACAAGGCTTTTCTTTGTAGCACCACAGTTTTTCATGTAGAACTAATAAAACGAAACACATAAAGTCTTTATGAAGAGTCTAAACTCTTACGCGTTCAATCGACTGCAAGGGCAATCTAAGTAGGAAAGATGAATGTGGAAAGAGGATTCTAGAAACAAGGCTTCGAGTTCACAGTCGGTGTCAGCCCGGGGCTACACACTCGAGGAGTTTCCGGAACCTTCCCCAGACTGTGGTGTTATTGACCTGGGTGGGGGGCATCTCTGGCCTCTGAGAGCTTCAAAAAATCCCACAGATGCAACCAAGGTACCTCTCTAAGGGAGAGCCAACAGGGTGTGGCGGGAGACTAAGGCCTCTCCTGGCCTGGACTGGCTACACAATTGTTGGTACAAAATGAAAACATGGAGTCCCTTAAAGATTCTTAAGATTTCGAAACAACAGGAGAGCATTAAACAAAACAAGACCCCGTGTGTCTGCACAGGCACACACCCATGAAGCTGGCCCGGATTCCATCCTTTACTAAAGCAAGTATTTGCCTAGCATTTTAAGAACTGATATCTTTTGAGTAGCTAGGGGAAAGGTCACCTTTCAGTGTGGTGTTCACATCTCCAGACTCTCACGAAGGACTTACCTCTGGGGAGCATTGCTGTCCTTTCAAGTGCCTTGCCCTGCCTGAAAGACCCTCACTCTGTCGAGACTAATAAAAGGCAGAACTGGAGCCAGCTACAGAGACAACTGGGTTTTCCCTTCATATCCTCGTCCACAGGGGAAATACTGTGCAAACCTATGAAGCAATGGTTCACCTTGGAAATATTGACTCTGAATGAAGGGTTTTAGCTCAGGAACAAGAAGCAGAGGAAATGTTTTTAATCTGACCAGGTTTATCACCCACACTCCAGGGCAGGCCCCATGCTCATGAGTAGCTAGCCAACACAAATCAGACTTCACCGTGTGTGTGTGTGTGTGTGTGTGTGTGTGTGTGTGTGTGTGTGTGTTGGGGGGTGTCTTTATCTTTGTTTTATTTTAAGAGAGAGAAAGGACATGGCGTTGGATGGATAGGGAGGTGGAGAGTATCTGGGAAGAGCGGGGTAGGGGAACGAATATGATCGAAATAAACTATGAATTAATAACTTGTTTTTTCAAACCCTTTGTCTGAAACAGAAACATTGGAAAACTTAGTGATCTCACATCTGACAGTTATCACACTACAAATTCCATTTTTCCTGCTTCTGGGGGTTAAACCCAGGACCTTATGCCGCTAGGTAGTCATTCATTCCTTCCACTGAGCTATCTATCCCCAGCCCTATAACGAATTTTATATTAACTTACAAGTCTCCACTTATTTTAACAAAGTCTCCTTTTGTATTTGCTAATCATGGTATTTAAAATCTTGTTCTAATTTCAGGGGGGAAAATCAGAATAATCAAATGGTGTAGAAACCCCTTTATTGCAAATTGTGTTTAGGACTCTCTTGCCTGTCTCGCCTACGTTTCACCATGTTAGGAGAGCCCCCTGGTGGCAGCCTGAAGTACTACCTTCAGGAACGTTAGTGCAAAATAAAGGCTGGTCAGAGATGAACCGGTCTAGAAGAGGCGGTATCTGTGCCCTGTGTCCTCTCACCAGGCTAGCCCTCCTTTCTCATTGCTGCCGGAGCTAGCAGGGGAGAGGGTCAGGGGAATTAGAGAGAAGAAGCTGCAAAAAGTGGTTACTGACTTGCGTGGAATAAGTGTCAGACTCTAAGAGATTTCAGATTCCTCACCTCAGTCTACAAACGTGTGTGTGTGTGTGTGTGTGTGTGTGTGTGTGTGTGTGTGTGTGTGTGTGTGCGCGCGTGAAGCTGTGTTACTTTGCCTGTCTAAAACACCTGATGGTCTAATAAAGCACTGAACGGCCAATATAGAGAAAGGACAGGCAGGGCTGGCGGGCAGAGAGACTATATAGAAGGAAAAATCTGGGAGGAAGAAAGAAGTAGCCAGAGAAGGAGGAGGACTCCGGGGGACAGCTACCCAGCTACACAGCAAGCCATGGATTAAAAGTAAGATTTACAGAAGTGAGAGAATCGGAAAAGCCCAGAGGCAAAAGGTAGATGGCATAATTTAAGTTAAGGAAAGCAGGCAAGAGACAAACCAAGCTAAGGCCAGACATTTATAATGAAGAATAAGCCTCCATGTGTGATTTGTTTGGGAGCTGGGTCGTGGGCCCCAAAGAGACAAAGAGCAGAAACAAACAACAGTCATGGTGTTTTATCAGAGCAATAGAAACTAAGACGCTGTGCTTTTAGTCTTGATGTCAGTGGATGGGCTAACTCCAGGGCAGAGAGCACAAAGAGAGAAGGTCAGGTAGGAGCCACAAGGTACGGAGCATTTGAGAAAGCTCAAGAACCCTGGACTATCGGGAAATGGGTGCAGAAGAAAAATTGGCATGGGACAAATAAAAGGTTTTCTTCTTCCATTATGTCTATCTAAGACTGGTCTTTCTTCTATAATGTCCATCTAGGACTGGTCTTGACTCATGAAAGTGTCACCGAAGTAGGTAACTCTTTTCTCCGTGACCCTGAAATCAGGCTGAAGGTGTACTAAAGCTTATTATAACTTAACAGACCATTTGCTAGTTAGTCAGTGGAACTAACCATCATACATAATTATTTTGTAAGAATGTATTGTGGTTTCCAAACAATGGTTTAATTTATTTATTTTGTGGATATATATATATATATATATACATATATATATATTGTATGAATGCAAACACACCCATGTCCTAGTACACGTAAGGAGGTCAGAGTTTCTCTCCTTCCATCTTGTGGGATCTGGGTATGGAACTCAGATCACTAGGTCTTCAAGCAAGCACCTCTACCCACTCAATCATCTCACTGGCCCCAAAGATTTATTTAATTTAATAATAATAATTAAATGGAAACATTTAAATAATGTTTCTTTAATAGCTCATTTATATTGGGGATTGACAAATTCATTTAATTTTTCTTAATTCTGCCTTGAGCTTATGGATATGTCAAATAGTAGCTAGAAAAGTTCACCAGAGAATGGATGCTAAATTAATATTTAATTTGAGCTCAAAATCTGTAAGTATTAATTCGTATTACCCTAAGTCTTATTGAATAGCTGTCTCTTTATGGCCATCTGACTCCTATAATATGTGATGAAAAGCAATTGCGTCCATTAATATCTAATTAAAGAAGTATGCATTATGTCCACATATTAATATCATATAAGTCAAGCCTGGTGGTATTAGCTTATAATCTTAGCTTCCTGGGAAACTGAACAAGTTCAAGGACAATCTAGACAACTTTGTAAGATCCTGTCTCAAAATGAAAAGGTTTTTTTTTTTGGGTTGTTTTTGTTTTGGTTTTTCGAGACAGGGTTTCTCTGTGTAGCTTTGCACCTTTTCCTGGAACTCACTTGGTAGCCCAGGCTGGCTTCGAACTCACAGAGATCCGCCTGGCTCTGCCTCCCGAGTGCTGGGATGAAAGGCGTGCGCCACCACCGCCCGGCTCAAAATGAAAAGTTTTTTTTGTTTGTTTGTTTTCTTGTTTTGTTTTGTTTTGTTTTGTTTTGTTTTGTTTGAGACAGTGTTTCTCTGTGTAGCTTTGCGCCTTTCCTGGGACTCACTTGGTAGCCCAGGCTGGCCTCCAACTCATAGAGATCCGCCTGCCTCTGCCTCCCGAGTGGGCTATAATAGGTGTGAGGTCCTAGGTTCAATATCCAGTATCCCACAGAAGAGTCACGTACACATCAATCATACTTACAATAAATTACATAATAAGTATATGTACATGTACAATATATTATATAAGTATATGTACATGTATTTTATGTAATATGGTATAATGCACATAAATAATCATGCACAATCTGCTAAAAAAACAAACTCTATCATGAGACATTATGTGACACTACACTTTGTTTTTATGTCCTTAGAAATGAAGAGATTAGGAGATGAAGACGGAACCCATCATATTCATGCCACTATTCAAAACAATATCTTAAAAAAGAATACCTGTTTTAATTTTCTTAGATTTTTTTTTAGGCTGTATAAAGTTCTCTGCCCCCAGGACATTCTAAACTTTGAATACTCAAGTGGCCAGATGACAGACTAAACCTGAAAATGTGACCTGCAGATTCCACAGTGGATCAGTTAGGAGAGTGGACAGAGACCAGACCAAGGCTCACCTGCCTTGCAAAAGCCAACCCAAAGCAGCTTTAAAAGTGGGGAGGGAACTAGAGCTTTCTCTAGTTTTCTCTAGCAGCCACTCATTGAAACCATACATCCTCTTGGTGTACCTTAAGGAACTTTAATACATTTTGTAACCTCCTTCTAAAAGCCCGCTTTCTGCTGGATTCCCTGGAAGAGGCAGATAAAAATAGGGAGAGCCCAGCTCAGTTTCTGGAGCAGGGCTCTCTCTATTCAGGTAGACGGCGGGTGGGCAGGAGAAAAAATTCTACAGTTCTGTTCTACGTGGCCAAGCTAACTCATCCTCCCCGGGGCTGTTTCTGGCAATCCTGTGCGCCTGGACTGCATTCAGCTAACACCCCTTCCGTGCACTGGAAGCAACTACCGCTTTAAGCGGCTCACACCCTTAGCACTCCCAGCTTGGGTTCTGTTGGACGTGTTAAAGAGTCCCCAGGTGTACATTTTAAACATGGGATCTGCATTTACCCCCGCCCCTTTAGTCTTTTGAAACATCCATAAACACCTAATAACTTTTTCTTACCAGAAATACTGCTTCAATTGTATTTTTTAAAAAAACAACTAAAAAACCCTAAACAAAACCCATAAACCCCCAGGACAGTTCAGCGTCTGAGACCCGCCCCTCCCCTCCATTCTTCCCCAAATGCCCCTCCACGGCTAAGGCAATTCCAAAAGTTTGTTAGGCCAACCCCAACCACAAAAGAGAAACTCCGGGGATTTAGGTAGCAAATACCCTCTTTTCCAAGAAAGCCTGGGTACCTTTTAGTAAAAGCATCCCCTGGGAAGAGAGGAGGTGGAACCGTGGAGAAGGAATGCGGAGCCGGGGGAGGGAGAGCTCTAAGAACGCAGCTTTTCGACTCAAACCCGGAGGTGACAAGCTGCCCGGGTCTCCCGGGTGACCACAGTCCTCACCGCAGAGCGGCAGCGCCACCTTGTGGGCAGATGCTCTTGGCTCGGTTTTCGGTCCTGCTGATGGGCAGCTTGTCTCTCTCCACCCCAGGCGTCTGCCCAGAGACAAGGGGTGACCGTCCTGCCAGGCACCGGCTCGCAGTCTCCTTCACCGGATGAGTTGGGACTGTTCCCTCACTCTCCTGTTGACTGGGGTCTCCTTCGGAGAGGAGCCCCTCTTCCATCTGAGCACCCCCAGCCTGCAGCGTGGAATTTGGCCGACGGTGGAGATTCAGAAACGTCGGACAAAGGAAAAGATTCGGTTGAATGTTCAGTTGGGAAACACATATCAGTCCTACTATCAGTACCAAATGTTTTCCACCAACTCACTCTGCAGGTTAAATGGTCAAACAAACCTTTAGAAGTCGATTAAATTTTTAAAAAAATTAAACCAGCTTTGAGCTTATTATAAAAGCACACTGAAGCGATTGGAAATGTCAGTGGAAAATTCAGTATTTACAATTGGCTTATCTGGAATAAGTAAAGATTCCCTTAACAAGGAAACCCAAGTCCTAACATGCAAACGAATCACCGGAATAATTATACAAATTCTCACAAACCTAGGACGCGTGCTTTTAGGATTTAGATACTTTCAGGATTCCCGCGGCGCTAAAACAACCTAAGACTGTCCTCTACCGGCCTGTGTGATGCTCTAACATTAAAAAAAAAAAAAACGAAACAAAGAGATTTATTAAAAGCTGCCCGGTTAAAATTTGCCCGATAGGATAAAGGCATCGCAGCCAATGCACGCACATCCTTCATCCGTCAATCCCACAGCAGCGGGTTCAACAAGCCAAAGAAATTTGAGCAAAATCACACAGGCCCCAGCTTCCAAGAACGGCCTCTCCATCCAAAACGCTTGTGAATTCCAAGGCCAGAGAACAGTATGACTAATTCTAGCTAAAATAAAACCAGCTGCTTGAAGCACTCCAGTAAGCACACATGAAATGCTGAGAGCCATGCTCGCTCTGTGATTTGAGTGGGGCTGGAACAAGGCACAAACCGGGAGGAAGCAGGAGTTTAAACCAGCCAGGAAACACGGGTCTGTTTAAACCAGCCCCAGCCTGCGCCCAGGGAAACCTCTCTGAGGTACTCACGTCTCACCACAAACTGTCAGTGGTGAAAAGAATTCCTGGTGGGATTCAATGATAGAAGTCACGATGGTGGCATCTTTTCAAGGCACCGATTCCTGAAACAACTTCACCAAAAAGCTAGAAACATGATTTATTTATTTTATCATGGATGAACATTTGTTTTTAGCCATTTAGGACACGTAGTCTATAAAATTACATGAGAAATGTGCAGTGGCCCTCCGTGCTTCTAAAGGTATTATTATTTTCTTTCTTAAAGGTGCCAGGTGTTAGAGAATAGGTACTTTTGGAACTTCAGGAGAAACATAATAAAACACTAACATTAAAACTTAAAAACATTCTGGGCATAGTGGTGCACACCTTTAATCCCAGCATTTGGGAGGTCTCAAGCAGAGGCAGGTGGATTTCTGTGAGTTTGAGGCCAGCCTGGTCTATGTAATGAGTTCCAGGACAGTTGGGGCAATATAGAGAGATCCTTTCTCAGAAAAAAAGAAAAGAAAAGAAAACCTGTAAAAAAAAAAAAAAGAAAAGAAAAGAAACTCTTTGATACTTAAATTCTTTTTTTAATTAGACTTTTATTTCATTCGAGTGCACACCCTCACAAACACACACACACATATACACACAAAGATACACACACACACTCGTGCAGCCATGCATAGGTTTACAGAATGTTTGTTTAGCATGCACAAAGCCCTGAGTTCAATCCCCAGTGGCACGAATCTACAATCCCATCACTCAGGAGGCAGAAGCAGGAAGAGCTAGCAATCTTCCGTTACACACTTACATAGCAAGTTTGAGGCTAGCCTGGACTACATGAGACCATGTCTCAGAGGTAATCATAATAGCCAGTCATGCTGGAGTGTGGTGGTGGATGCCAGAAATTCCAGGACTTGGGAGGCAGAGGCAGGAGGATCACCACAGTCTCAAGACCAACCTGGCCTACACAGCAAATTCTAAGACAGCCAGGGTTACATAGTAAAACTTTGTCTCAAAGCAAGAAACATAAACTGTTCACCACAAAAGGCCACAGTGAAGGAAAGCTATACCAAGGTTCCCAGCAACACCAGTAACTGGGACCTAACGACAGTCGCACCAGCCCCTGTGGGGAAGGCCATGTCTGCTTCCTTTGAATATTTGCAAATTGAGGGCACATGAGTGACACTGAGGTGCTATGTGGACATTTGCATTTGTTTGTTTTCACAGCAGCCCAAGGAAGCAAAGTGAAATAATTAGCCCTCCCTTTCCCAGGCAAGGAAATCAAGACCTGGGGATTCAGAAAACTTAACCAGGATCATAGCAGGCAAGGTGGAGCTAGCATCCGGGAGCCAGAGTGTATGTCAGGGTGAGGGGCTTGTATACCTCAGACTCCGCAGGCAAGTGATGTGAAAATGAGTCCTAAGACAACAACCCCCGAGTCCAGCTGGGCAGAGAAAAAGGCTCACGCTGAACTCTGAGCTAAAAGGGAAGACGCTCGTTTACAAAGTGCCTCAACTTCAGGGAAGGAGACACGTTGTCACCACCAACAGAGATAGATGGGACTGATCACACACACGAAATGACAGACCCGACCCCAAAGCTGAGCAACACCCCCAGCTCCTGCTCAAAACTCTTATACAGAATAGCTTCCTGCACACTCAGCTTCAGAGAATAAGGGTTCTCTCTAGGGCCATGATTCCTGAACACACACCAGGAGGCTCTGAGGACATCTGACATGAGCTTGCACAAGCCAGACTTTGAGTTTCTCTTTACATACACACTATATCTCATTTAATCATAGGCATGACAGGGTTGAGCTAATATGACCAAGGCCACACTGCCGGGAAGTTGTGCGTCAGGACTAGAAGACAAGTCGGTAGGTTCCAGAACACTTGTTCATAGTGGAGTGGCGTTGTACATCCATATCGCCTGGAGAACTTTAGGAAAATACTTATGCCAGGTCCCCAACCAACCCCAAGGAATTTGAATCTCTAGGGATGAAGTCAGAGCACCAGTGATTGATTGAGATCTTGCCTAAGTGTGGCTAAGGTGCAGCCAGTCTTGAAGGCATGCTATTTCACACTCCCAGAGACTCAGGGCTGGGGCATCTTTAAAACAGCCACCCCAGGTGATTCTAGTGCAGGCTCCACAGTCCTATACGGCAGTGGTTCTCAAGTTTTAGCGTGCATCAGAACCGGCTGGGAGTCAGAAAGCCTGCATTTCCAGTAAGTTACCCAGGATGCTGTTAACCTTTGCTCGAAGGGACCACCATGTCACTCTCATTGTAGTAAAAAAAAAAAAAAAAAGCCGGGCGGTGGTGGCGCACGCCTTTAATCCCAGCACTCGGGAGGCAGAGCCAGGCGGATCTCTGTGAGTTCGAGGCCAGCCTGGGCTACCAAGTGAGTTCCAGGAAAGGCGCAAAGCTATGCAGAGAAACCCTGTCTCGAAAAACCAAAAAAAAAAAAAAAAAAAAGCTACGTTTAAACACAGATATTAACATAAACTAATATTTATGAGTGGGAGTACTGTAAGGACAAAACTTTCCTAATGAAATCTGAAGCCACTTGGGTATGGTGGCATATACTAAGAACCCCACACTTGGAAGACCCAGGCAATAGGATCATGATTTAAAAATCCATCCTGGGCTTCTGCATAGGGAGATCCTATTTTCAAATTTTATTTCTTAATTTCAAATTTATGCATCATAAGATAACATTCTTGTTTTCCCAGCTGTAAAATATAAAGTCCATATTTAATTCACAGGCCATACCAAAAAAACTAGCATCTGGCCAGATTTTACCCATGACCTTAATCGCCAACCTCTCAACTGTACACTATTACTTCTGAAAAAGGTTACTTCAGAATATCTCATGGAAAGGAGTCCAGGTTACTTAAATAGATCTGGAGTTCAGAAGATGGATTTTGGCCGGGTTTCCACATTTGAGAATCATGCACAGAAGAAAACGTAAGTGATGAGATTAAATAGAGTTTGTTTTTTAAAAAGCCATTTAGGCCCACAGTTTTGGAGGTTCGTTACGTGACCCATTGATCTCAGAGCTCTGGGCCCCGGCGAGGCAGCACATCGTGACACTTGGCACTCAGCAGAGTGGCATCATTGACGTCACAAGCCAGAGAGCAAATGAGAATAAAGAAATGCTCAGGGTCTTACAATCACCTCTGTAGGCGTGCCCCCGAAAGACCTAAACACCGCCTACTAGGTTCCATCCCCTAAGGGATCCATCAACTGCCAGCACGGTCACCCTTCAGACCAAGCCTGTAGGACAACATCTACACGACATCAGCGCCTTCCAGGAACATGAGAGAACTGTAGTCCTCCGCTTTCCTTAAAGCTAGACATTAGCCAGTGAACAGTGGCAGAAGAGACATGGGTCTCTGCATTGGACATTATTCCAGATGCCAATGCTCCATCACCTGGAGTCAGGGGACAAGCAGACATGGAGTGGAACACCCCCTGCCCTCACCAATGCAAAACAGATGCGTGGTAGAGGTAGCAAACAAATCCCCACTGTTGTTAGCCACTAGGATTTGGAGCTCATTCGCCACCTTGGCAGAATGTAGCCTCTCCTGTCTGATACAGAAGTCAGATCTAGAGGAACATAATGATATGAAAGAAGATGAACATGTCAGGGACCAACTAGTACAGGGACAATGTACCCCATGATTGATCAGAAGATACATCAGCCGATAATGGGGTGCTAATGATGGAATCCAGCCGTGAAAAGTAGGCAGGGATAGAACTTTTGATAGGAACCTAGAGTGGACCTTTATTTTCTCTTCTGAAAGATGGACTGAATTGTGGTGGAATTTGGTGTTCCCCAAAATATTGTGTACCCTAATAAACTTATCTGGGGTCAGAGAACAGAAAAGCCACTAGATACTTAGGATAGGCAGTGGTAGCACACACCTTTAATCCTAGTATTCCAGAGGCAGAAATCCATCTATTCAAGGATACAGCCAAGCATGGTGACTCACGCCTTTAATCCCAGAAAGTGAGCCTTTAATCCCAGGGAGTGATGGCAGAAAG